GCCAAAATCTCTGCAGGCCTCCTCTGCCTCAATACAGCTCTTCTCTCTAACCTGCTGTAATCCTGACTGAACTCGTCTCCCTCCACCCCCTTACTCACTCTCTCTCTCTGCTTTACACACTTGCTCCAAACCATACAACTGAATTGAGACTGAACTCGTCTCCCACTTACTCACTCACTCTCTCTTTTATTTACTTTTTGTTTTTATAGTAGAGGGTTTTACGGCGCTCGCCACTGCATAAGGTCATATGAGCGCCAAGGGGTGGGTGTCAACAGAGAATTCTTTACAGGGAATCAGACTTAGACTGCTCACCTCTCTAGCTTCAACAGCACCAAGTCTGCTTCGACTATCAAAGCACCCCGGAAATAGCAGGTCAAAAGAGAGTGACAAAGATACAAAAGAAGTAGAGGAAAATGACAATAGTAAGGATCAGGAAAGAAAAAGCAGCAGTTCCCTGTTGTAGATCAGGCACAGTTATGAGCATGACATGAATCAGCCCATTTACAATTCGACTATGCTTGAACGAGATATGTCCCCCCTTGGGGAAGGGCTAAAGACACAACAGTCAGTGGCACTCTCTGCTTTATACACTTGCGCCAAACAATACAATAGGCCAGGCCCAAACCCGTGCCACTGACCAAAAAGCCAGATTGGCCAATAAACTGCCAAATAGACCACAGTCAGTTTCGTTAGTACTTATATTATTAACGGCATTGAACTTATAAATGAACTTACTAGTGAAATCTTACAAAAGTAAAGTTGTTCCCGCATCCGACCCGGACATTGAGGATTGCCTTGTTAGTGAGACAACTTCCTGGGCCTTCGCCATATTGTGGCATACAAAAGTAAAATATCAATTAACTCTCCTAAACCCCAAGGAAAAATAAAATAAAAACTGAATTCCAGAATATGTTTATTCAGACAAATTCCATAAATGTCATTACATAGCTTCGCCTCAAAATAACATGACACACACTCACGCCACTAAAACTAAAAGGCACTTTTATTTCAAGAACTTTCACACAGTCAACATAATGCTATCTTTCGCACAGCTGCTTACATTCATAACCACTCCCTGCTCTCAATCAGGCAAACATTAGGCCTACAATTACAAACTATTTTTATCAGTAGTTGTGCAAAATTTACATTTTGTAAATCACGCAAACGTAATGACTTTTGTCAATAATGCAAACTTAACATTTTCTAAATCATGCAAACATTCCAATCTATAGTCAATCATGCAAACATTATAACTTATTTTCAACAATGCAAACACTTCCAGTAGGGAACGGGATAGAGGGTGCCCATATCCCTCGTGACTCATTGGAGCAGAGGAAGATATAGGACTAGCGCTAGCACTATTTAAACGCAATCCCACATCATCACTCATCACCACCACTACATCTAAAATCATCCCCGCTCTCACATCAATGACTTACATCTATAATCCTGGAATCTCTATCTGCTTTTACAGCTACTTGTTATACTAAGTATGTACGTAATACACTATTGGACACTCATACACACTTTTTTTCTCTCCTAATCAGATGGCGTCAATTCTCATATAAATGGGCAATGGATAAAAAAAACAAAAAAAAACCAATGCAAACACACAACACCGAAACAAAAAAAAAGCCAAGACACACAATTTACCCATCAATAGCGCTGAAGTACCCACAGAATACACTTCCTTAGAATTACAGTTTTTTTCATTTCGACATTTTTGGCCATTTTGAGTTACTGAGACCATACGATAAGAAACCAAAAGTACTATCTGTCCCCGGGTTTAATGCACCCTGTATAATTTAGCAAAAATTTGACCATTTTTTGCATAATTTCCAATAATTTTCCTTTATCATTTTCTGTTAAAATTAACAGAATCGCATAATTTCACATTTTTGCGCTCAGCTCGCATTTTTTCAGATTTTTTGTGTGCATAAAACCGCGGGGACAGGTAAGCATTACAACCTATTTTCAACAAAGCAAACACACAACACTGAAACAACAAAAAAAGCCAAGACACACATTTATCCATGAATGAAACTTAAGTACCCACACAACACACTTCCTTAGAAATATTACAAAGTTTTTTTTTAATCTTGACATTTTTGGCCATTTTGAGTTACTGAGACCATGAATCAGGTCAGAAACCAAATGTGCTATCTATCTGCTCTATCAGAATACATGTAGTAAGATTATTTGGAATAGTTTTAGTTTAAGTAAGAGTTTTACAGCACTTGCAACACAATAAGGTCATATAAGTGACGAAGAATAGAGATGTGTTACAAGAGAGTAACAAACACAAAAAAGAAGGAGGGGAGATAGAGACGATTGATTTTTTATAGGAGAGAAGGAGCAAACCACACCAGAGCACCCGCCAACCACCCAGCTTGAATGTTTGTTTGAAATCCAAGCTCATCAATCTCACAAACTAACAAATGGTGCATTCTCTTCCATAAGGTGAACTTTTGGAAAATGTAGACTAGATTTGCGGAAAATTGAATAAATGATGATACTAATAATAATAATAATAATGATGATAGGTCCCAACAGAATGCAATGCCGTTTTAACCCTATCCGTTCGCCCTGGGGTCATTTTGTACCCCCGTGGTTGTATTCTTCACATTTTAGAATACTTATAGTACGAAGATCTCTTTGAAACTTTCAGTATTTCTCAAAACATCATTTTGACAGACTGCTATGTAAAGCGTACAGATCGGATTAACGAGTAAATTTCCTCTTTCGAGAGTGGTGGCACAGAGTTCCCCACGTCGTATGGATACAATAGTAAAACACGACGTACAGATAGGGTTAATTGAATGAGAACTATTGGACTGTATCCGTGTGAAATAGACCATCGCTTTTTGGTGTTAATGACAACACTTATACAACCCACTGATCCTCACACCCTTTATCGCTCAATTTTTGGAAACCATTCAGCTGGCAACGTACATATATTTTGTGACAAAGAAGGCAAAAAGCAAAAAAAAAATTTTTTATTGCAGATATATAACACCATCAGAACAAAAGACTCTTTAACACAAAAAAATTTTTTGAGACTTTTACGGCACTTGCAACACAATAAGGTCATATAAGTGCCAAAAATTTGTTTAATTTTGTTATAGTAGAGGGTTCTACGGCGCTCGCAACTGCATAAGGTCATATGAGCGCCTAGGGGTGGGTGTCAATGAGAAGTCTTTACAGGGAATCAAACTTACTCTGCTCACCTCTCTAGCTTCAACAGCACAAAGTCAGCTTCAGATATTAAGGCACCCCGGAAATAACGGGTCACAAGAGTGTGACAAACATACAAAAGAAGTAGAAGAAAATGACAATAGTAAGGATTAGGAAAGAAAAAGCAGCAGTTCCCTGTTGCAGACCAGGCACAGTTATGAGCGTGACATGATGAATCAGCCCATTTACAATTCTACTGTGCTTGAACGATGAAAGTCCCCCTTTTGGGAATGGCCTAGAGACACTACAGTCAGTGGCACTGCCCCGGGGGGGATGCCGAAGATTAGAGGTGTTACAAGAGAGTAACGAAACATAAAAAAGAAAGAGGAAAGATAAAGACGATAGTTGTTTGATAGGAAAGAAGGAGCAAACCACACCACAGCACCCACCCACCAACCACCCACATATATTTATTGAGAAAGAAGGCAAAAAGCACATAAGAAATACATTGCAGATATATATATATATATATATATATATATATATTTATTTATTTATATAACACCTTCAGAGCAAAAAAACGAGGCAGAAAATCAACATTACGTAATGAACAATCAAAGACTCAGTCTACGTATGTCCCTAAGGGAATTGCAATAACAGATGGGACTGTAAACACTTCTGACTTTTTCAGTTTTAGTAAGTTTTACAGCATTTGCAACACAATAAGGTCATGATATAAGTGCCGAAGATTAGAGGTGTTACAAGAGAGTAACAAACACAAAAAAAGGAAGAGGAGAGATAAGGACGATAGATGTTTGATAGGAAAGAAGGGGCACACCACACCAGAGCACCCACCAACCCCCCATATTCAGAGTTTTCACTCACTCAGTTTCACACACACACACACACACACACACACACACACACACACACACACACACACACACACACACACACACACACACACACACACAGGCCTTTTTTCCCTCTCCCACTCTTTATCTAGAAAACCTTTCCAATTTAAAAGCTCAATAATTCTACTTTTGACCATCAATTAAATAAATGTGAACTTTGTGTCATTAGCTAAAGAACCTATTAGACCTGCGCAAAGTTTTCAGACAGTCTGGTTGAGGCTCACATGAAGGTAAAAACCTATTTTTTATGTGTTTTCAAGACTTTCATGCCAACACATACTGAACTAAAAGTCTCATTTCAACAATAAGAATCAGCCAAATCTTGCTGAGCAGACACAGCTCTACACTTTAACACTATCCCCCCATGCAGAGCACAGAGCACGCAACACTTATCCCCACGGACCAGGACACAGGTGAGGTACGTGCTATATCACACCGTCGCCGATTGGGAACCCATGGGGGTAAAGTGTTAACCCCCACCCCCTTCCCCAACTCCCATTTCCCAACCCCAAAGTTAACTGCTGGAGTGAGTTGAAACTTTCACCTATTTGCACTTAGTGGTACGGCTATTTCTTCCCTTAAAAACAAACTATTAAAACAACAAACTGAGGGTGATCACAGAAATCTGACTTTTAGTTTAGTTTTAGTAAGAGTTTTACAGCACTTTTACTTTTACGGCACTAGCAACACAATAAGGTCACATACGTGCCGAAGATTAGAGGTGTTGTTACAAGAGAGTAACAAACACAAAAAAGGAGGAGAGATAAGGACGATAGATGTTTGATAGAAAAGAAGGAGCAAACCACACTGGAGCACCCGCCAAACGCCCACATTTACATTTTGAGGAATGGCTATTTCTCCCCTACAAAAAACAACTATGGCAACAACAAAATGAAGGCGATCACAGACATCTGACTTTTCATAGTGAATTTTCAGCAAACAATCCTTCTTCATTTATTCATTTCTTCGTCGTTCTCTTTCTCTCGCTCAATCACACGCTATCCGAGCTAACTCTCGACAGTTTTCTGACCGCCCGTCTGAGCCAGATGTTTGATGATGTCCACCCAGTCCCAGCCGCGAGGCTTGTCGGCGTTGGCGCCGAACCGGTCGAATATGCGACGCTTCTGAGCCTTGGTCAGCTGCTCCTTCTTCTCCTTGGCCACCTCTTTCCTGCCGCCGTCGCTCGGCTCCTCGGGGGAAGGCGCGCTCTGAGGAGGACAGATCAGGATTACAAGTTTTACCATGACAAAGACAATCTTTATTTATCTCGCAGGGAGAAATTATTTCGGTTTAGTTTTAGTAGGTATTCTATGGCACTCGCAACTGCATACGGTCATATGAGCGCCAGAAGATTAGAGGTGTTGCAAGAGAGTAACAAACATAAAAAAAGAAGAAGGGGAGATAAGGAAGACAGACTTTTCATAGGAAAGAAGAAGCAAACCACACCAGAGCAACCGCCAGCCACCCACAATAGAGGTTTTGCGGCACCCACAACTGTATATGCTCATATGAGCGCCAAGGGTTGATGTCAACAGAGAAGTCTTCACAGTGAATCGGGCTTACTCTGCTCCCCTCTCTAGCTTCAACAGCACAAAGTCTGCTTCGACTATCAAGGCATCCTGGAAATAGCGGATCACAAGAGAGTGACAAACATACAAAAGAAGTAGAGGAAAATGACGATAGTAAGGATTAGGAAAGAAAAAGCAGCAGTTCCCTGTTGTAGTTCAGACACAATTATGAGCATGACACTGTTGGACCAGCCCACTTACAATTCTACTGTGCATTAGAACGAGAAATGTCCCCCCCCCCCTTTGGGAATGGCCCAAAGACACTTCATACCGGGGGTCATTATGATCTACTCACCACCACGGGCTGTGCGACCGGTGTCTCCGGCTGGATACTCAACATGTCGTCCAGGTTGTCCTTGACCCACTCAAACAACGAAAAGGTCATCGACATGCCCAAGAGGTCATTGGCCTGGAGAAATTATAAAGAAAAAATTGAAAACAAAAATTTTATTGTATTTTCCCATTTTTTTGTTGCTGTTTTTGTATCTAGGCACAGCTGCCCACCCCTCTCTGTGGCTATCAGGGACAGCCTTGCTCAAAATCAGGGACATTGATTAATTATCAGGGACACCTTGTATTTGTCAAGAAAAACTTGCGGCCTTTTCGGTTTCTTTGCTTTACTTGGTCCAGAGTTGGACTTAAAACTCATCGCCGAACATTTTGACGCCATCTTTTCAAACGAATGAAGAAGCCGAGCGCCGCGCATGCGTATCAGCTGACTTTGTCAAAACTGCACACCTGCCAACTCTCCCGAATTTTTTGGGAAGCTCCCGAATTTTCTTCATTTTCCCGAGCAACAGAAGGCTAATTTTTCTGTTTTAGAAGTATGCTTGCCAAGTTTTTATTTTCCAGGACCGTCTGTCAAAATCCGTATTTCTGGGACAACAGCGATTTTTCAAGAAAATCCGTACAAAATACGGATGGCACGGGACAGTGGGCAGCTATGTCTAGGTGTTTTTAAACCCACATCAACACAATTTGCAACTTGTTTTTGAATCTACCTGCGTCATGTTAATACTTCCACATGCATACATTTTTCTGACTTCGGTCTATGAAGACAGAAAGAAATTTTCTCAGTTTTAGAAACTCTCTCTATATATGAACCTGGTGAGCTCCCAGAGCTCTTCAATAACCAAACTTCTCCTTTAGTTTAGAAACGATAAAGTGCATTTGCATTGCACATATACATACTAGAAACGTCAATGTGCTTTACAATTTAAGGTGGAAAGCGTTTGTTCTGAGAAAGGCAATGATGATGATGATGATGACTAGTAAAAAAAAAAATTATAATAGTAAATACACAATTAATATGTTTGCATTGTTCTCTCCATCAATAACAGTGAAGATGAAGGTAACACAATAGTTCATAGGGTGAAAAACGAAGACAGGGAATAAGCAACAACAAAAAAACACACAAAAGAAAAAAAAAAACGAAAAGATGTTTAACATAAGTGTTGAAATAAAGACTAACCTGTTCAGTCATTCCATTCTTCAAAGCTTCCTTCACTTCTGGGATTCTGCAAAATTGAATTGACAACTTGATGGACCAAATCCAAAAATCTTTACGAATACTTAACCAGTATATCATACATGAGGTAATTATTGATGGGGTTATTCATGGGGTTGGAAAACATATATATTTTTAAATATAGTCTTATTCAAAGTAGATTAGTCCCTTTTTTCTGTTGTTGTTGTTGTTATCCATCCTTTCTGTCCTTCTGTCCAATGCCATGCAGTGATAAGTGCAGGTTGGCTGCAGTTGCTGTAATGTTCCGTAGATTGTGTTGTCAAAGTTAGGTCTCGGAGGGAGAAGTGTAGCTCTGATGTCATTTAGGGCTGTACAGTGGAAAAGGTGATGTTCCACTGTCTCATCATATGCATAGTCACACAAAGGACACATTGGGGGAAGTTCTGGTTTTATTCTGTTCAAGTGAAATTTGGGCTTTATATGTTCTGTTCGTAGTCGGAAGATCGTGGTCTGTTTCTTTCTCTGTATATGGTTGATATTGTCATTTCATTTTGTTGTAGTCAGAACAAACATAAAGAAGAAGGGGAGATGAGGACGATAGATGTTTGATAAGAAAGAAGAAGCAAACCACTCTAGAGCACCCCCCGACCACCCACATACACGTGTTTGTTGTAGAAAACATCCAAGTTGATCTCAGGAAGAACCTCGGGGTAGTCGCTAGGCCAGGCAACTTCCACCAAAAAAGACTTGTTGCTGCCATCCTCGCCGTACTGCAACAGAGGGAAACAAAAGACGCAGGATAATAATAATAACAATAATAATAATAATAGATAGCATTTATATAGCGCTCTATCCCATACTAGTATAGATCTGAGCATTATAATCATTCACACAAGAAAAAATATTTCACAGAAACAAGAAAAACCAGTTCAACCTCATAAAGAATAACTTCCACAACCATACATTAACTATACACGAAACGACACATATATATACATAAATATAATATTACATACACACATGTATGTATATAAAAAATCAGAACTTACTAACACACTATAACTAACAATGTACCGGCTATGACCATCTGACACTTCTCAACGCCTCCCTCAACTTTCCAGACAAGTACCTCCCCCCACCAGGGTAGTTCTACAGACTGAAGTTGTCTTTAGGCCACTTTCAAAAAGGGGATATTAACATGTTCTTATGTACACTGGTATATTGTAAAATGGGCTTATTTATCAATATCATACTCATACTGTGCCCGAACAAAATAGGGGGAACAGCGGCTCTTTCTTTCCTAATCCTTTTTATCGTCATTTTCCGCTACTTCTTTTGTATGTTTGTCACTCTCTTGTGAACTGCTATTTCCGGGGTGCCTTGATAGTCAAAGCAGACTTTGTGCAGTTGAGGCTTGAGAGGTGACCAGAGTAAGCCTGATTCCCCATTTAGACTACTCTGTTGACATCCATCCCTTGGCGCTCATATGACCTTTTAAGCAGTTGCGAGAGCCGTAAAACCTAACTAAAACTAAAGACAATCACCACACATATGAGAAGATATCAAATCTGCCATAACTTTTAGCATCAAAACTTTCAAACAGAGCACGAATTCCTGAAATCAAGATTTTTCACCCAGTACAAAACAGCATATAGAACAGAACAACAGTAAATTGACGGCACCAGACATACAGAGACTTAGCCTGGGAAAGTCTAATAAATCTTATAGGACAAATTAAAAATTATCTGACACTCTTACTTTATATATATAAAAGTTTATTATATATCCTTTTCAATGTGAAGCAGGAGAATTTCATCATCACACTTTCTCAGCTCTAGAGTGCAAATAAAATCTACATAATGTGAATAAACTCCTAGTACTAAATTGAGACCTAAAAAAATTGTTTGAAAATCCCGAGCTTCTCTGTTTTGTAGCCGACATCATTATAAAACTTAATCATGGACTGAACAGGTCCATAGTAAAGATCTAGCGGTGATATTTTGGTGGAGAGAGGGGAGCATGCAAGAAGAAGCATTGACAAGGCATAACTCATAACATAAACAAATTTAATTCAGAACCATCCAGTCCCTATCCCAAACTCTTCTCCCTCTCCTTTCCCCGCTAACCCCAATATAAAACTGATGCGCATGCACAAACTCTAACCTTATACTGGAAGACAGTATCACTGATTTGCTTGTACGCCTCATCACCATCATAGATAGACTCCAGTACTTCCAGCTCCTCCTGTTGATGCAAAGTTAGGGGACTTTGTTTTGTTTGGGTTTTTTAATACACACAGAAGAGGCAAGATAACACACGTGTGACACATAGAGTCCAAAAAAATTTCAAAGAAAACCCCCAATAAAATTGAAGAATCCCTAGGCTACTTAAAACTTTCTGATTCTAAAATGTGATCAAACCCCCCAAACTAAAACCATGACCACCTGACCTTTGATAGAAAATGGTATTCTGTGATAATAAATCATTGGTAGAGGGAAGAGTGTATTATTGTACAGCAGCACTTTAGACTTGCCAACTTTCTGTCAAGGACAGGCTATAAAATTAAGAACTAGACCCTAATGAATGTAGCGAGAAGAAGTGTTCCCGTGTACAAGGACAGACGAGTAGCAATTTTACTGAGCAACTGTTGTGACAATGCTGACAAAACTCTGGTAGTTTACTTGAGTGAGTCTACGTAGTCTCGTACTATGACTCAGACTCAGTGAGTAGACTTGACGTCTGTAGTTGAGTAGCGTTACAAAACACAGACATGCTCAACAACGTCGACAGGCCAGACACTGAGACAGTTAGACAGTACAGTAAGCAATTTAAAGAAGTAGTAGGCTCTACTTGTACAAAGTTAACGTAAAAGTAACAAAATATCTACAGACGACAAAGGCCTACACTATGATAGACTCAGTACTTGTATCAAACAGTAAACTCAGTGAGTCAGTCTCAGTCACACAGTAACCGTAACCCCCTTTGGACAGTTTGGAACCCCCCGATCGGGGAAGGACTTCCGTAATGAGCGACCACACCATCAAACACAATAAAGAAGACGCCTAACCCTAACCCCAACCCTAGATCTACCCCTACCCCTAAATTCTGCTCTGTCTCATAGTGGTCGCTTGTTACGGAAGTCCTCCCCCGATCGGTGCAAAGCACGTCTATGATCTCTATTAAGAACAATCAGATATTTCAAAAACTATTAATTTGCGACCGAAATGAAGTTGATGTTCAGCGCATCAATATTTAGTTGAAAATGGACAACTGGTGGCTTAGTGGTAGTGACGGAGACGGGATGAAAAAGTAGAGTAGACAGACTAAGACAAGACTTGAATTAACTTCAGACTTTTAGTCTAGACTCTAACCTTTTGCATCTCTTCACATGACATGGCTTTTCTTTGGAAAATCGATTTCAAACTTGACTTCAAAGATAGATAGAAAAGTTAGTAAAAACTTGTTACACAACTAGATCTATGTCTTTATCTAGATCTAGATAGTTTTGTTTGAGACAAGTCTCTAGATCTAGCAACGTGAATAGGGAGCAGCCATGTTTGTTTTTGTTTACAGTCGGTCAGGATTATCCTTCTTTGATTAATAAAAAAACTAAAACCGGCTAAGAAGCAACAGGTTAAATTTAGTTGTAAAAATGTATTATTATGTTAATAGATAATAATATAACAATAAAAACACATTTCTGAGAACTGCAATTGCTATTCATTAAAAATATTTCCAGTAAAGGACTGTGTTCCACTTTTTCTTTCAAAATACCTCAATCATTTTGCATTGAAAATAAAAACACCGAAACACAGGATATTCGATATTATCATGTTTATCGCAATAATAGGATAGTATCGAGTATAATTGTATTTTTATAGGCCTATTAAACATAATTCAATTTCCCCTCAGCCGCTAATATAGGCAATCTAGGTTTAAGATACTTTGTTCTGTGTGGTCTGCGATCATAAAGAAAAAATGATTGTCTTGGAAGATAAAAAAGTTATAGCATCGTACTCTTTTCAGTAACGATAGTTTCAAAAATATATCGGCTCAAATATTCTAACGAGTCGATACATGAGTCACCAGGAATCCAGGAAGGCGCCTATTTCAATTTCAATTTTTCGAACTTCCGTTGTACTTCCGTATTCTGAAAGGGCATGCTTCTGTGTCTGGGTTGTGCAAACAAATAAAACCCTTTCCTTTGTTCTTTCCTTCTGATTCAGTCGTTTTATTAACAGCAGCAGTCATAACCGTTTGAAGAGAGCAGCATGGCATCAAATCTGAGAAAAGCAGGATCTGCGATTCGTAAATCCTTTCGCTCCAGGAGGTATGCAATGTTTGACACCAAAGAAAATGACTACATCGTCGATTCGCCGTCACGCTTTCGTACCCGTACTCATTCTGACTCGGAAGCTGCAGAGGACAATTGTGGTAGAGGTGTGAACGTAGAAGAGGATGCTGCCAACACCACAGCACCTGCTGTTGGACTGCGCAGAGGAACAAGCATGACACAATCAATGCGGCAAGCTGTTGGAACGATTAAACAGGTAGCCTTAGATCTATCTAGATCTAGATCTAGCAATCTAGCTAGAATCTACACTCTACACTGTACACAGCACCTCCTTTCTCTCTGTCACTAGACTACTCTACTCTCACTCTCACATGATTTTAATTTTGATTGCCCAGTGTGTAATACTGATGCTTTTCACAATGCGCAGAGCCAGAGCTCACAGTCACAGTGTAGTGTAAGGGGAAACAACGAATGGTCGATCGGTCAAGGATCACTGCTTCGTTTTCCTTCGTCTCATGGGATGGAATTGAATGCTTGAAGCAGGCCAAAATATTAAATAAATGGTAGCGTCAATTGCCACCGAGTGAAGCTGTGTCAAGTCTGAAAACAACACTATCTTAAGCATAAATACATCATAATGTGTGTCTAATGGGCCAATTTGTTCTCTTGACTAATTTCACTGGACGAGCATCTAGTCTAGAGCTACGGTACCAGCTTGGCGTGTTTTCAATGAGACTGTAGGCCTAGATCTAGGCTAGCCTTAGCCTACACTTCGGTGTAGAACCAACACTGGCAATTCTAGAAGTAGGTCACAAACGCAGCCAAACTCAAGCAGAAATTCACGTTAAATCGGGGGACGGGGGTCAGGAAAACACACACACACAGACGGACAGAGAGGCGAACGCACAACACCGAGCACTCGGGCACAATAAGCTAGATCTACCCACCGACGCAAAAGAGCTCAAATTTACTCGGTGGCAATTGACAAAAAGTCAATTTTTGTCAATTGCCGCCGCGTCACTCAGTGGCAATTGACACTACCTAAATAAATAGCCTAGCACTAGTAGGTCAGGCCCGGCGACCTCGTTGAATCCGAGTTCCACTGTAATCTAGGCTGGTCTATCACGCGATGCGTTTTGTCTGCGCATGCCACACCCTCCCCACTCATTCGCTCCAGCCTCCATTGTATTGTTAGAAAGCACTCGTGGGCTCTCCCATTCTTTGTTTCGCTAGATCATCAAGTTTCTCAACTGGCGAGGTATTACATGATAAAAAATAATTGGCCTGTGTGCTCTGTGCATGGCAACAGCGCTATTCCACTATAACCGACTCACTTTGATTGCGCTATATTTTATTTACAAAGATGAGATAAAGAAGAGAAAAAAATGGGATTTAGGAATCTAAGTAAATGTCTTAAATATTAGACTTCTCGTTATTTCAGGACTCGTATAACTTGTGGACTCCTCTATAAAAGTTGGGCTCTACTCTCTACTTTTACAGTTCAAGTAAAGTGGAGTTTTATAGTAAAATTTTAAGTGTGTGAACATTTTAAGTCGTCTAGTCACTCTGTGACCAGTACTGAGTGTACTAGTTCTATCTACATCTAGATCTAGTAGTGATATGAATCAAAAAGCAAAAGGAAGGATTAACTTAATAATTCCGTGTCATTTTTTTGTCATGTGTGACAACATGATGCTCATTAATGCTGAGAATATTTTTTTCTGATCATTTCAACCTGGAGTTTTTGACAAACATTTTGTTATATCTAATTCAATTGGCTGAATAACACCCCCCACTGCTGTTGCCACTTTACTACTTTTTTTTTTCAACTTTATTACATTGGTGGTTGGCGGATGCTCTGGTGTAGTTTACTTCTTCTTTCAGGTCCTATAAAAAAAAGTCTATCGTCTCTATCTCCCCTCCTTCTTTTTTGTGTTTGTTACTCTCTTGCAACACCTCTAATCTTCGGCACTTTTGTATGACCTTGTTGTGTTGCAAGTGCCGTACAACTCTTACTAAAACTAAAATTAACTTCTTTACAGAAATTGAGAATGTCAACCCGGAGACATTCAAGGCTTGGAGAGAACCAGTCACCGTCTCGTGGAGGAAGACGACGACACTCCCTTGGTGGTGTACGCAAGAGCAAGAACATCAAAATGTCCTCGCCATTTAAGATTGATACACCGAGCCGAGCATCAACCAGGAATGGGATAAAAACATGGTAAACTTTTTCGTATTGTTGATATTCTGTCTGCATAACAGGGTGTATTGTTGGTGCTGGCTGATAGGGAAAAATATTTTTTTTTCTAAGGAAGGGTTGGGGTGGAGGGTCTGATGCATTCCACATTAATTATAAAGCCAGTTTCCATCTCTGTAATTATATAATAAAAATGCTGCCTCTTATGCCTTGATTTTTGCTTTTTTGTAACCCATGATTGATTAATCAATCTGTAGTACATTTACTTAAAAAGTAATTGAACGGGTTTTTAGGTCCCGAAATGCCTATTTCGTGCATGTTAGGCGAATATAAATTATTTAATAAATGCATACTGGGATGCTGGCAAAGTATCGATTCCTTAGCTTTTCTTTTAGTATGTTTTGTTTGGGTTTTTTTACTTTCCCTAGCACTAATGATTTATCTGTTGTGGCTCTTGATCTGTTTCTCTTGATGTTGACAAAGAAACAAATGTGAAGCTTGCTGACAAAATGAGTTACTTCTCGGATTCAAGCCTTATAATGGAAATAAATATCACGCTTTTATCATTTTACTTTTATTGGAAGTTTTTACAATTATAAAAGTATGAAATAATAAAAGGCATGTAATGTCATACCAACTTAAGAATATGGCACCAATAGAAAATCTACAAATTTGACCTAGTGTCTATTTTTAGCCAATGTCTCCATATGTGAATTGCGAGAAGTAAGTCATTTTGTCAGTACGCCTCCTAAATGAATCATGGTATCACTTTTTCTCCTCCTCCAAAAACTGATCTGTTGTGCACTTGTTTTCTTCAGCCTGTCCATGGAGACTCCTACGCGGCTTCGTCGTGAAGTGGAAGCGCTCACCTCCAACTTGCAGGCTCTGAGCACCCTCACACCGAACACGCTACACGCCAGACGGAGCACAAGGTGATGTAATAATAGTAGAAATAGCATTTGTATAAATAACGCAAATCCCTGCTCAACTGCAAGCTCTATGCACTTCAGTCTATACTATTACCCCAGCAGACCTGAGAGCATTCTGGAACAACCTCAACTTTCTGGTCCCAAGCATACAGTGCAAACAGCCATTTATTTGATATATATAACAAACACTCTCATGACTTATAACTTTGCGGAAACTAGTCAAGTGTTGACAGTTAAATTTTGATCTTGTAACTGCAAGTCTCTTTTACTTAATACAATACCTGTTATATATATATAAATAGTAACCTAAACAGGGTTCCTGTGGCCTTTCACGCTGCACGCCAGACGGAGCACAAGGTGAAGGAACAAACACTCTCATGAGTGGTCTAATGTTGGCAGTTTATTGAATAAAACCCTCCCAGCCCCAGCCCCAGCCATTTTTGTGCTTTCCCTAACCCCAGTCCCTGCCAATACAACAGTATTTCAGAAAAAGAGGCACGCATTCTAAATAATGATGTAGTATCTTTGTAATGAGGTTTAGAATACCATATATAACAATGTTTAAAGGTAAATGAACAAATATTAAGAAAATTAAAGTTTAAAGTTAATTAGGTTGGCTTAGTTCGAAAAATGAGCAAATCCGGTATCCCCCAAAACTGAGAATATACCCGCTCTTGGGACTGTTGGGAGGTACAAGCGCTGCTGAAAATACACGCTCAGGGCTGGAAGGGTTAACTTTGATCTGGTCACTGCAATAATGTCTCTTTTACTTGATTGTAACTTATACAATACCTGTTATAGTAACTTATACAGGGCTCCTGCGGCCTCCTTGAATTCATAGAGTCTTAACTTTTCTCCCAGTTTATCAGTGGCATGCACTGGATCTATTGACACCAAATATGATTGGATTTCCATTCTCTTTCTCTCTGAATACATTAATACATCTACAAAGAGAACAGTACCTCAGAAAGATGAAATTTTAGGAAAGGCTCGTGCTAGTTTTGCTGAACATGCTGTCAGTTTTTTCCTGCTCTTTAGTGCTTTTAGTAGCTTCGAATTCTGATTCTCAATTCCTCTGGTCGTATGGAATGCTTATCAATTTACAAATCTAATTTTATACAAACATTTTTTAAACAATATTTGTTGTAGGGGATATAGTCACATCTACATAATATAATAAAATAATACCACAGGGGTGCAATAGTTTGACTTGGTTTCTGTATGATTTATATAGCGCTCAACCCCGATTACAGTACACAGGCTCTAAGCGCTTTACAATACAGTACAACATACAACAATAACAGAAAATCACTCCAAATATTCATCTTATTAGATTAAAAACGGAAACGACTTCAGCTGACATTTGAATGTATCAAAAGATTTGATCACTCTTAAAGTACTTGGTAAAGCTTTCCAGATCTTGGGGCCGAATTACTACATTAGTCATTTGTGCTTTCACGTGCCGTACCCCCCGGGGCAGTGCCACTGACTGAAGTGTCTTTAGTCCGTTCCCAAAGGGGGGACACTTCTCGTTCAAGCATAGAATTGTAAATGGGCTGACTCATGTCATGCTCATAACTTTGCCTGATCTACAACAGGGAACTGCTACTTTTTCTTTCTTGATCCTTACTATTGTCATTTTCCTCTACTTCTTTTGTATGTTTGTCACTCTCTTGTGACCTGCTATTTCCAGGGTGCCTTGATAGTCGAAGCAGACTTTGTGCTGTTGAAGCTAGAGAGGTGAGCTGTCTAAGTCGCTGATTCCCTGTAAAGACTTCTCTGATGACACCCACCCCTTGGTGCTCATAGGACCTTATGCAGTTGCGAGTGCCGTAAAACCCTTTACTATTTATAAAAAAATAATTCATGTGCCGTCTTGATTTATTCTTTATTTTCTCTTTAACCCCCACAGGCAGTCCTCACCTTTGACTTTGACCAATGGGAGTTTGAGGACGCAGAAGACCCCTCGGCTGACACCTCCCTTGACTAATGGCAGTTTGAAGACACCCCGGTCAAGTCGCCGCAGAATCACAACTGACATCTACTAAGTCCAGAATTGTCGTTCCTTTCATCATACAGATGTAAATTGAGGGACGCTCTAGACTAGTGACCGTTGTGTTGTTGTGCCTGGAACTTTGATTCGGTGCACCCAGTACTCTAGTAAAATCTTGTACCAGGAGTTCGGGAGAAAAGTCACTTCCTGCACAAATGCATGCTGCAAGAACCACTATTGCCGAGGAATATTTGCATTTTTCTACAATATAATGCTGTACCGTGAATGAATGAAGCCCACGTGTGGTTCGTGCTTGTGATAAACAAAGCTGTAGCTGTTAACAAACATCTTTTGTTAATGGATCAGGTGTTTGTGTGTGTTTTTCAAGACAATTATTTGAGAACCAAATAAATGCATGTTTCAGAGGTGCCAGGTTTCTGGATCAATCCGGATTCCTGAACTTGTCCTCATTTTGCCTCAGTTCAGGCTGAGTACTGTAAGAAAAAGTCTCGATGCAAGATGTCGAAGACGGTATCATCCCTGTAGGCACATTTCTTTGAGGTCAGAAAAGCCTAGGAGTTATGTACCTAGCCAGCTGACGCCTCTGATGTTTAGATAGAAATTCTTGCCGCGCTTTTGCATGCCTGTCGTTTTGTAATTCTATTAGATAGTTAAATTATAATTTATGTAATTTTTGGCTTAGACTTAGAGATGATTAGACATCTGAGTGAAAGGGCATAGTTTTTGTTCCTTTGTCTATCTCCATCCGCCTTCTAGTATCTTCAGAGCATGAAACAGAATATATACGTATAATATATTAAATTAACATTGTCTGGCTGTCTTGTCAATGTGCATCTAGAATATAGAATAATGATACTGGCTGGTGATTGGTTTTACATAATCACGTTTCGTTGGCTTTACACTTTCGTCTATTTCCAGTGTCTTTTATTCGTTTGCACTAGCTAGCTAGGCATGTAGATGAACACCTGTTTGATTGGAATGGAAGATGGTCTCTGGGATTGGGGTTGGTGTTGAGACCAGTTTGTGGGTATACACTTTAAATTTTTTTAAGTGTTAGCCCGAAAGATCTAGTGGTTGTGTCTGGCTGTCTGAAGAAATGTGTGTGATAATACTCACTGTTGAAATGTTTCAAACAATGCTTTAATTGTACAATGAATTTCCACCGACAACTGTTTGATTTTGGCCCTTCTGTTAGTGTTAGCTGGGTTCCTGCGGCCTCCTTAAATTCAAGGGGTCTTTGAAATCTCCTTTGATTTTGCATTCTAGGGAAAATCTCCTTGCTTGAAAACTCCTGGAATTTCATAGGATCGGACGTGAACAAAATTTTATTCGCAAAATCGAAACTACGATTCTTTTCGGACAAGTGTAGGCCTATCGGAAATAGGCTTACGGTATGAATTTTTTGACCAATTCTCCTTGAATTTTTTTGGGAGTTCATGGCAAGAACCCTGTGTTAATCGCAAAGTTTGCCACGGTCATTTACTTCCGATATAATTATGTTTAGTTCACACCTGTTTGGCAATTAGGTTAAAGAAAATTATTTCACTGATATCTGCCATGTACTCTCCTGATTTTCTTTGACAGCTGTTGTCTTTTAGCTATGAAAGTCAGATTGTCTGCAATTACTATCATCATTCTTGTTTTGTGCATGAAGGATTGAATAAGTTAAAATTTACACTTTTCATCATTCTTGCCTTTTATAAATGGCATGTGTTGACACTGCAGTTCAGTGCCTGATTTTTATTTTATTTTTTTTGTGTGGGACCAAATTTCAACATTAAACGAGCAGATAAAGGAATCTTAATTCTACTTCATGGAATCACACTATGGACAAAAGCATAGCAATTTCAATAGAAGAAGCAAGTACAGGATTCCTTTTTCTATGACTATGACATAAGTAGGCTACATTTTACATTGCATTGTGACACTGGTACATTTCAGAACTGATACGGATGCACGACATATTTTGTTACGAATCGTTGCCTCAAAACTAATTTTGTCCAAAGCGTACTAAGTAAAGTGTGTACTTTGGGCAAAATAGTTCTGAGGCGACAAAATGTGTAATTTGTGTTTCTATTTCTTTCCACATGACTTTGTTTTAAGTATTTTCAGTGTTGACAAAGGATGGAATATCTGGTCATTTCACTCGCGAAGTGGATGTTTACTTTTTTTTATTCATGACACGTATTTTTGCGCCAACTTTTTACACTTTTATATTGAATTGCTCGTCCATTCATTTTAAAAAAACGTTTTTTGAGGTAGTTTGACCTCTTTATTTTATATTCCCTTTTCTAGAAAACTGTTTGGTGACTATACTTGGGTCTGACAAAACTCTAGAACCTGATGGGCCGCCAAATTAAAAAGGAAGATTTTTTCGTTTAGAGAGTTTGCCCAAATCTAAGATTGGGGGAATAATCTGGTATTTTTTACTTAGAGTGTACTGTTATATTTTAAATTAACTGTGTTTAGTTTAAGCAGACTCCTTTCTATGTACGGTGATAGTAACAGGCAGCTCCGACAGTTGTACTGAAGTGGAGAATGGATCATATTGAAGTCCAAGTTTGTGTTTTTATGCACACTGTCAGTATCAACGATTCATTTAAATGTCACAAACTCTCTCTTTCTGAATAATTGAAAGACATAATGTGTGTGTTCAAAAGTCAAAGTATGTATACGACTCTTTAGCTTGCCTCAATAACTGGCCTAGTTCTGAAGATCTACGACCTTGACATTGAAGACAAAATGTTTGGCTGAGAGACTCTACTAGTACGTTTTACATACATTGTAATATATATATAAAATCTTTTTGATGACAGTCTTTAGGCAAGCTTCCTAACATGATGGTAGCATGACTAAGTAAATTAATGACGGTGAAGGCTACATGGTTTCTCAATGCCAGGTTGTGATCACTATTATTAAGTTCACTTTCCATTAGTGGTTGGCGGGCGGGTGCTCTGTTGTGGTTTGCTCCTTCTTTCCTATCAGACGACTATCGTCCTTTTCTCTCCTCCTCCTTTTTTGTGTATGAACACATCTATTCTTCCTCCTTTTTTGTGTATGAACACATCTATTCTTCAGCCTTTATATGACCTTATTGTGTTGCAAGTGCCGTAAAACTTTTGCTAAAACTGAGTTCACTTTGCTGCTTCAGTTGTGGCTTTTCTTTTCCATGCTCTCTTGAAATGAAATATGATCTGTTAATGTTATGTGTTTCTGTCCTCTATTAACATGTATTTGTATTCAGGATTGTTTTTTTAGTTTCCTTCCGTGGATGATTGGCAAGTGGTTTGGCTTGCTTCTTCTTTCCTATCAAGCATCTATCGTCTTTATCTCCCCTCCTTCTTTTTTGTGTTTGTTACTCCCTTGTAACCCCTCTAATCTTCAACACGTATATGACCATATTGTGTTGCAAGTGCCGTAAAACTCGTACATACAAAATATTTACCGTCCTCTCCTGAAATGAAATACGATCTGTTTATGTGTTTCTGTCCTCTATTAACATGTATTTGTATTCAAGATTGTTTTTAGTTTCATTCTCATTTACTTGTTTGTGGTTATGTTTTGTTTTTGTAAAGTGTTTTACGGCGCTCGCAACTGCATAAGGTCATATGAGCGCGCGGGACACCTAATATTTTCAGTTGGTAGGAAATTTTGAATTTTGCCCGGATGGCGGCCAAAGCCTACTCTTATCGATTTTAGACCACCAAGGGATCTTTAACGTGCGCAACTTGCACACGGGCCCTCCGAGATTTTTCGCCCTTGTCCGAGAAGGCTAGGTGTAGATCATTCCTACCAGAAGATCAGGGGTGTGGCAGAAAGACAGCTGTAAGAAGGAGTCAAGGAGTAGCAGTAGAAAGGCTGCAGAAAGAGTCAGGAGCCCAGAGGAGGGGGCAAAGGGGGGGGGCAGAAAGAAGAGACGAAAGCAGACGGCAGAATATTGCTAGAGAGCAGGAAAGGAGGTGAAAGGAGACAATTTTAGTTTTAGAGAAGAAAATTTTTCGGTCACTACCCGGATTCGAACCCGGGACCTTTTGAATGAGAGGCCAGCACCTTAACCTCTAGGCCACGAGAGCCCCGTTTGTGGTTAGAGGAAGCCTGTGGTACATCTTTCCTACTTCTTTTCTTTCCTCTGCTGCTTCTGTCTGTCTTTCTTACCTTGTCCCTGCACTATACTATGTAGCCATTAATGTGTCGATTTGTTTCGCTACTCAAAAGTCGAATTGCTCAATATTCTTTTATTCTTTGGAATATGTCGTTTCAACCTGGGGGTTTTTTTTTGGTTTTTTTTTTTATATTATAAATGTACCAACCACATATGTTGCCATCAAGTCGTGTAAAAATCCATTGAGATTACAATGAAAGTCTGTCCATACATATCTTTCATTCTTAATCAGCAGTCCCTTCGTATCATGACTTTTGTTCAGTTATTTTCTGAAACTTCATATATAACCTGTGCCCGTGGTTTTATGCACCCTGCTTAATTTAGCTCAATTTGATCATTTTTTGCATAATTTCTGATTATTTTCCTTTATCATTCTTTATTAGAATTAACAGAATCTCATAATTTCACATTTCTTGGGCTCAGTTTGCATAATTTCAAATTATTATTATTATTTTTTTTGCATAACTACCTCGGGGACAAAATAACCAAGAGTGCTGAGTGACACACAGTTAAGTGGTGTACATGGAACAGCCTTTCATCATGTCTGTTACATTGTTGTTAAGCAAGCTCTTTGAGTGGTATTCAGCCAGAGGATGTTAAAGAACAAAGGGTTATATAACACCTTATTTCTCTCCCTGTAGTTTTATGCACCTCGCATAATTTAGCAAAATTTGATCCTTTTATTTTTTTTGGCATAATTTTTATCCTGTATTATTCTTTGTTAAAATTAACAGAATTGCATAATTTCACATTTTTGGGCTCAGTTTGCCAATTTTAATAACTTTTTTTTTTTTGCGTAAAACCGCGGGGACAGCCTTATGCAGTTGTGAGCGTCCTAAAACCTTACTAAAACTGAAAGAAACTAAAGTACTAAGGATTTGTTTGTTGGTGTTTTTTTAATCGTTACTATGATTGGTCTGTACTGTACTGATTTTACTACAACTTAAACCCATCCATTTACCTTCTGTTGTACTCCCTGCATGCCTCAATATCCTCCTGTGTGTTTTATTAATTTATAAGATAGAATAGATGTGTGTGGTGGCTCACGTCTTGTGTCGATAGCTCTTCAGTTTTAGACAACCCAGAGACTGAGTTTTTCACCCTGAAACCACAAGAGCTCTGTATTTCTTCTAGAGTCTGTTTTGCATAACCACAAGTTTCCTTTCTTTTCGAGAAACAGTTCCTATTCTATTTTTAAGTAAGAATTGAAATCAGGTGAAGCCCGCAAGTAAAAGTAGAAGACTTTTTTTCTTTTGAGACTGACTGCCTAACACACTTTGTGTGCAGTTGGATCAGTTACTGATTAACACGTGTACTGCATGTTTTGTTCCAGCAATTTAGATGTTCTAATTATCTCAAAAATGTTTGACACAATTCTCTTTTGTACAATGTACGTTTGTAGAGATCTAATTTTACTGAGGGCCGTGCCTTAACTCTATGCATTTTCCTTTCTCTTGAGAGTGAGAGCATTTCTGTCTTTCCATTTTTCACGCGTGATGAAAATGGTCGCTTTTAAGGACAAGTGGGCTAACCCATTTTTCTGGGGTTTCCAGAAATCTTGACCTGCACCAAAAGTGGGCCTTGCCCTACCTACAGAGGAGAAGTTTGATTTCATTGGTGTGTATAATGTATTTGTTTGATTACAGAGAATACTCTCCTTGTCTTATAATTTTATAAACTGAACGAGGGGCAAAAACTTGACCTCCGATTTTCTCAAAACAGCATTTTTCGGGATAGCCCCCTTGTGCTTAAAAGCGGCCCAAATGTTGCTGTGTGTAGGTAATTATGACCTATTCTTACTTGGATCCAACATGTCCTCCTTTTGTTTCTCCACAATCTATTTACTGTGACAGAAATTTCTGTAACCTGCCAATGTACAGTGCATAAACCAGACAAACTTTGTAATAAAAAAACAGTCTATGCAGTTCTTGACTTTGTTGTTTTCTGACTGTATAATGTGTGGGTGGTTGGCGGGTGCTGTGGTGTGGTTTGTTTCTTCTTTCTTATGAAACATCTATCGTCCTTGTGACTTTCTTCCTTCCTTCTTTTTTGTGTTTGTTACTTTGTAACACCTCTAATCTTCTGGCGCTCATGTGACCTTATGCTGTTGCGAGCGCCGTAAAACCTCTACTAAAACTTTTTTAAAACTATAATGTACACTTATTCTTATACAGTACTAGAACATGATCATAGCGGGACTTATAGTTTTAGTTCCAGTAGAAGAATCCCGCTGTAGGCAAGTTCGCTGAAGGAATGCAATTTTACAGTTGAATTACCGAAAAATCACACTCGACATGCTCTCCTCTTCTTTTATTGTCTTTTTGGCTTGGGCTATGGCACATCTCTTATGGAGTGGCTCACATAACACGTCTCTCCGCACCATCTGTCTCTGCCCCATCTCACTCATCACCGGACTGGCCAATCACAACGCCGCACTGCTGACTGCCTGTTTGGAGCCCACCTACAGCCTCCCATCCCCCTTCCCCCAGCTAGAACTCGCTCAATCTCTCCCGCTGTATCCAAGTTCAGGCCTTTCCTTGCCCCGTTAAACCCGAGAGCACAGGTCATTGAGTTTACATAGACCTGTCCCCGTGGTTTTATGCACCCGGCAGAACTTAGCAAAATTTGATCATTTTTTGCATAATTTCTAATTATTTTCTTAAATCACTCTTTGTTAAAATTAACAGAATCGCATAATTTCACATTTTTCGGCTCAGCATAACTTCATAATTATTTAGGCATAAAACCGCAGGGACAGATAGATTATAGACCAAAAAAGCGGGGTTCCAGTAAGGTGCCGCTATAGTTGTCATGTTCTACTTCTACTGTAATACATTCTTCCTCATAATTCAGTATAAAACGGAGCTCGAATTTTTTCTTCAGCCTTCGTACTGCTACTCCTTGGCTCCTTACTGCCGTCTTTCTGCCACACCCCTGATCTTCTGGTTGGAAAGATCTTCACCTAGCCTTCTCAAAGAAGGGCGAAAAATCTCGGAGGACCCGTGAGCAAGTTGCACACGTTAAAGATCCCTTGGTGGTCTAAAATTGATAAGAGTAGGCTTCCGCTGCCACCCGAGCAAAATTCAAAATTTCCTACCAACTGAAAATATTAGGTGTGTCCCGCGCGCTCATATGACCTTATGCAGTTGCGAGCGCCATAAAACACTTACAAAAAAAAATTGAGAACACAGGAAATTGACCAAAATAGGGGGGTTCCAGTAAGGAGCTGCTGCAGCTTATAAAATATGACCTTATTGTGTTTTAAGTGCCGTAAAACGCTTACTGAAATTAAAACTGTTTTGAGAGGATGAAGTTAAAAAAATGGTTGATATTTTGAATCTCACTCGATTTCCCTAAAAATCTCATTTTTCACGATATTCTGATTCCCCCATTTTTTTCAAATTAATCCCACGTGATATCTGGACTCTTTTCTTAGACTCAGTCACAAACACACACAAATTTGTACCCAAATGCACACATGGTGACCCTACATTTAGTTTTAATAAGAGTTTTTTTACAGCACTTGCAACACAATAATAAGGTCATATAAGTGCCGAAGATTAGAGGGCTTACAAGAGAGTAACAAACACAAAAAAGAAGGAGAGGAGATAGAGACGATAGATTTTTTATAGGACAGAAGGAGGAAACCACACCAGAGCACCCGCCAACCACCCACTTGTGACCCTGCGTTTGTCAACTTCACAGCTGGGTGATTTGCACCCTGCTGGATCAGCAAAACAACACAACTTACAGTGACAAAAAAGCAATAGAGCTAATCTTTTAATATACTTTTCAAACCCCCAAAACTCACACACACACACACAGTCACACTTTTCTTCGAGCAGAATATATCCTGATCTGTTTCTCTTCATCGAAAAATTCTTCCCGAACATCAAAAAACTCCCGCAGCATGTTCAAAAACCGCTCATCCCTCTCGTAGCGTATCCGGCACGAAAGTAACACCAGCGTGTCTGCCGTCGCCGCCACGGACTTGAGAGTCTTCAGCAAGTCGTGAAACGTGTCCTCAATGTAAATGATGTCAGCCCCCAGCACGACGTCACAGTTCGGGAGCACGTCCGACGAATCGTACGACGATGACCTCCAGTCCAGCACTTGGGCGGAGATCTTCCACGACTTCCCTTTCGCGTTGCTCTCCACCGTAGACGAGAGATGGTTCATAGCCTCCTCCCGCTCAGTGACGACCACTTCAGCTCCTGCCAGTAGATCAACGATGCGTGTAAACAAGTTTGGCCCCCAATTTTCTCAACAAATATGATACAGAGAAAACCATATATAACTGACCTGAACAGGGATCCGGTAATAACAGGAATTTTTTAAATCCCCGTTTTTCCCTACTCTTTGTCTCTATTAAAATTAAAAGTACAGTGAAAACCATATATAACAAGCCCGGTAATAACAGGGATCCGGTAATAACAGGAATTTTTTAAATCCCCGTTTTTTCCTACTCTTTGTCTCTATTAAAATTAAAAGTACAGTGGAAACCATATATAACAGGCCCGGTAATAACAGGGATTTTTGAAATCCCCGTTTTTTCCCACTCTTACTCTTTATCTCTATTAAAACTTATCGGCAATGACAGGGCCTCATCGGAGCCCAACCGGTTATAGCAGGAACAAAGGCTCATTAATGTATAAAAAGTAAGAGAGAGAGAGAGTAATGCAGTGATTGAGCAAGCCCACAATAGTCGATTGATAGGAAAGAAGAAGCAAACCGAACCAGAGCACCCACCAACTACCCACACGTGTTGTCTGAAGGATGCGTGTATCAGAGCGCGCTGACACATGTTATACTCCACTCACCTAAAGACGCAGCCACCAAACCAGCTAACCCAGTCCCAGCCCCCAGTTCCAGGACTCCTTTTCCTCGCACCAGCTGCGGATGTGTATGCATGTACTCCGCCAACACAACAGCCTGGAAATGGTGAAAAAATTCACTAGGTTTAACCCTTATCCGTATGTCATGTTTTACTATCGTATCCATACGACATGGGGAACTCTGTGCCATCATTTAACCCTATCCGTACGTCGTGTTTTACTATCGTATCCATACGACATGGGGAACTCTGTGCCACCACTTAACCCTATCCGTACGTCGTGTTTTACTATCGTATCCATACGACATGGGGAACTCTGTGCCACCACTTAACCCTATCCGTACATCGTGTTTTACTATCGTATCCATGACATAGGGAACTCTGTGCCGCTACTTTCCAAAAAAGGAAATTTACTCGTTAATCCGATTTGTACGCTTTGCATAGCAGTCTGTCAAAATGATTTTTTGAGAAATACTGAAAGTTTCAAAGAGATATTGGCACTAGAGGTATTCTAAAATGTGAAGAATACAACCCTGGGGGTACCAAATTACCTCAGGGCGTATGGATAGGGTTAAAAGACTTGACCGTAAAAATATGCATTAGTAGACCTCTGGAGCATTTTCATCGACAAGTAAGCTTAATATAAGTTCCATAACAGTAAATAGTAGAAAGTAGTACTATTAGTAGTAGTATGAATAGAAGATGCTGAAAGATAAAAGGGTTGACCTTGTGGTCTATAAACTATACTGTATATATATACTTTTATATAGGCAGTCGATCACAAGTCTCTCTCTCTCCACCTCTCTCTCTCCCTCTCAATCCATTTCTTTCTCTCTTTTACTTACTTTCCCTATCTCTTTCTTCCCTTCCCCAGGCCTCTCCCCGTCATTTTATGCAAGAACAATTCTGAATTATGCAAACTGAGCCCAAAAATGTGAAATTAATCGATTCTGTTAATTTTAACACAGTATGATAAAGGAAAATAATCAGAAATTATTTTTAAAAACTATCAAATATGGCTAATTATGCGGGATGCATAAATTCATAAAACCCCGGGGACGGTCCCAGGCCCACCCTCCCCCCTCCCCCCTAACACCATAGCCCAGCACTGCTCTCACTAAGATCCTAAGGCCACAGTTCGCTGTCACTGCCACTGTTCACTAGGGTATGCTACATGCAGGAGTGCCATGAACAGAGAGAGAAGCATTTATTTTTTCGTAGGTCTTTGCTTAAAGAACTCTTACTTAAACTAAATCTACACTCAAAGAGAAGGGAAACAAAGAACCCCTAAATAGTAAGGAAATAATATGAATACATGCCACAGATTTTTTTCATCCCCTCCTGCCCATCCAGCAGTAATGAGTACCTGACTTCAAGTACGGGAAGTAAAGGCGGCGCGGAAAGGAACTAGCCTCCCTACCACAATAGGCCTACACTTGTCCCCATCGTTTTAGGCAAAAAAAATTCTGAAATTATGCAAACTGAGCCCAAAAGTGTGAAATTATGCGATTCTGATAATTTTATCATATTAAAAAAGATGAAGGAAAATAATCAGAAATTATACAAAACATGATCAAATTTTGCTAAATTATGCGGGGTGCATAAAACCATGGGGACAGATATACCGAAGGCCCAGGAAGTTGTCTCACTAACAAGGCAATCCCCAATGTCCGGATCGGATGCGGGAACAACTTTTTACATATATACATGCCATATTATAATAAAGTCATACAGTAGATGTAGAACAAACTCACAGAGTCCCAAACAACTGCAGCCACTCCATGACCCATCCAGTTCTGTTGTATCACAAACTCCTCCCCTGCCAGCTGGAATGACCTACTGGGCTTCTCGTGCGGAAGGATTCTAGACTCGTCGTATAACACAACCGCTAGAGCTGTCGATGAAGACGACTTGTCATCTGTTTCTTTCGCCATGTCCCCGGTACACTCTAAGGAACAAAGAAAATCTTAAGGCATTTATATTTATTAAATGGGTCCCTATATTTTTACATTTTATTTCAACTCATTCGTAATCAGGTGTTTGTCCATCATATCACAAGCATTTTGTTTACACTCTTGAGAAGATGAGAAGTGATTTAAGGAAAATATATATCATTTACAAGAGTAATCGTATATATATATATATGTATATTCACTTACTCTATTAACTGCATATATAAACAAAAATCTAGATAAAGTAACAACACCTACAGGAAGTCATGTCATATACACCCTTTAATGTGTTTCAACACTGGATCTTCCTTTTCAGGAAGTAAATTTTTCTTGGGTGACATTTTACACATGATTTGTCACCAGTCCTCAAAAGAGTCTTTTACAATAGAGCCAAGATTGAAAATTTACCAAATGTCTTTGCCTGTTTCCGTCATTTTATACCCAAAAAAATTCTGAAATTATGCAAACTGAGTCCAAAAATGTGAAATTATGCGATTCTGTTAATTTTAACAAGAATGATACAGGAAAATAATCAGAAACTATGAAAAAAAAAGATCAAATTTTTCTAAATTATGCGGGCCGCATAAAACCATGGGGACAGACTTGCTTACAATCAAACTCAGACTTGTCTAACAGCTACCAGTATAAGACAATCATCTGCACACTTCCCTTTTCCATCTTTGAGATTTTTCTATATAAATTATAAATGATACTGTGTGCGTGTAAGACTGCCACCTTCCTAAGGAGGTCTCTTTTCTCCTCAATATTGGGTGCCGTCATAGAGGCAATACCGACAGTATTTTCATCTTGTCTATCCAGAAAAATTAAAATGAACAACATCAGATGTCACAATTGACCAACAACAACTACAGGGACAGGAGAAAGTTATTAATAATTAGACATGTCTAGCGGGCACATATGTATGTCTATTATCTATTTGTGGTGGCCGAATTTTGCTATTCAAAAGGCTTTTTAATAGCTGCATCGATCGACATGCGGTTTTCGCCAAAACATTCTTTAAAATATTCTCCAGATCCTGACGCCCTTCGTTTTTTCAGTTTTGAGACAGTTTTGCTGCAAAAAGCTAAATTTCTTTATTTCGCCGATCGCTTTTTTAGGCCGACACTTCTGTCTCTGTAATTTTTAAAAAGGAGGTTTCCGTTCACTAACCGTGCGCACTGTTTTGAGAGTATAGATCTAAACCTTCTAATTTTGCATCTCTCAAGATTTATTGCTCCATTCCAGTAGAATGTAAATATCATAAGCCAATGACTTTCGGCTAACGTTAATGCACCGATCATTCCTTTCATCGAAAGGGGGCCCAGCTAGTCATGTATATTAGTTAGTTGGCCTATCAAAATCTGCAGGACACAGAAAGCTTTTCATTATCGGAGTGTCCATGTACACGGTAACCGGGCACCTAGTCTCAGTAGTGTCGCGTACACGGTAACCGGGCATATATAGCCTCAATATCTATGTACACGGTAACCGGCAACCGGGCACGTAGTCTCAGTGTCTACGTACACGGTAACCGGGCCTGTAGCCTCAATATCTACGTACACGGTAACCGGCAACCGGGCACTTAGTCTCAGTGTCACGTACACGGTAACCGGGCAGTCCACAACTCCAAGTTCAGTTTTTGTCGTCCGGTGTTGTCTTCATCCCCACTCCTCCCCCGGCTGTACCTTTAAAAAAAAAAAATCAACAATCCCCACATTCCGGAGCCCTATAGATCTACTTCGCAACGCACAGACTTTGAACGAACATTGGTGACCCCAACCGTAAGGTGATGGGCACGCACAGGTTCACTGACCGGTCACGATGGCGAGCCTGACAAGACGCTTGTACTTGTACATTTCTTCTTTTTTTCAGCTAGTGACAGCACAGGACAGATATATTGATTTATTTTCATATTCCGGTTATCGTGTACGTACTGAGACTAGGTGCCCAGTTACCATGTATGTAGATACTGAGACTAGGTGCCCGGTTATACGAAGACACTCCGTTTCATTATTTAGCCAATAGAAGTTCACTATTCGTAGGAATTTCAAAGATACTTATCTAATCATATTACTACCCTTTAGACTCAACAAACTTTGGGCACTAAAATGCCTTACAAAATGAGACGTAGCCTAACCAAGACAATCTGCCCCAGTCCCCAAAATGGTATTAAACCGTTCCCAACTTGCTGTACCTGCACCTGAGAGTGAAGGATCTGTCAAAGGATCACAGTAGTCTCTCTTGTCATCCAGACAACCGTAAGAGAAGGAGGAAAACACAGACTGTCCGTGGCAGCTTCTTCTCGACTTGCACCCACTCTTCTGGGTCTCGGAATGATCTTTGTTGTTGATAAACTCAACAAGACCCAAATTTTCGTCAACTTCAGTCTGCTGGTGTCTGTGGTTGTGGTCTGGTTGGAGTCCTGCTGAGTGACTCTCACTTACGTGGCCTACGATAATCGTATACCATACTGAAATACAAACTATGAAAATCATGAAAACGTTCCAGATCAAGGGGTGGTCTCTAAAAACTGACAGCGAAAGACCGGAGAAGCCAGTTTACCAGCCTAGTTTACTTTCGTTTTCGCTTTGGGCTTTCTTGACAACCGGATGTCTTGAGTACTCGAATACCAGCCGCCAGCCAGGCACATCATTAAAAAAAAAGGGCATGACGACACAATGTTTTCAGACGCTCGTCAATTTTTGGGTAGATCTTATGGCGTTACTGTGGTATCATCTCAAATTTCCATTTTGATGGCAGCTACTGGGGGAAAAAAGGATCCATCTACCTTCAATAGAAGTCTAGATATTTTCGACTGAAGGAGACGGGTGTGTGTCTGGTGCCAGAGGTTAAATGAGCGAGAAAATGAATAGGCCTACCAAACTTTGGTGACTTCCAAAGGTGGGATTGAGTGTCTTTTGGAATCTGCAAACTTGCGTTACTGTGCCTTTCATAAAAGTTTTTCTTCCTGTAAAATCAACACAGAAGTGAGTTTTAAATGGACATGAAAGGTGTTGAATCCAACTTTTTAAAAAAAATAATTTTAAAAATTGCGCAACGGTAGCCTAGGGAAAATATCGGTTTCTACCATTTTATCTAACTGACAAGAGCCTTATTTCATGACGGCGGCATTGTCTTCGCGAGAGAGTCGTGTTTGGTTATTATCGCCTTTCAACTTTTTAGGCCGTCTATAAAATACATGTATATAATAATAATACAATGTACATAATAATTATAATAATTATTATTATAATACGGTAACCATAATAATTCGTTTCATTTGCCCCAGAACAGCGAGTCTCCAAACTTTGTTGAATGGCCGGAA